TGAATTTTCTTTTGTAGCTTAGGACTTTTTCCAATTATTTATCTATGATGTTGGCTGGGGCATTTGGTTTTGATTCTGAATGTGTGCGCTAGTATAGTCTCTATATGGTTTCTTTGCCTACAAACAATGTTAGTGGTATCTGTGATTTCCTCAGTGACTTGGGGTGTGGTCATTAGTGGAGGCTCTGGTGGAGATTTTCTGGGAAGAGAGATTGCTAGTAAGTCCGTCTTCAGGGCCAAGTGGTTGCAGCAATGGTCTGAGTGTACCTGTCCTTTAGCCCCCTGGGGGGTGTATGCTGGCACTGGTGTTAGTTATCCAGTTGGGCCATTTATCAGGCCTCCACGTATCTTGCCCAGATGGTGGTAATGGCAGTGGTGGGCCAGGTGGGTGGACTGGTTTTTAGGCCCCTGTGCAGACAGCATGGTCTATGGCAGTAGCAGTGGCAAGATGACCCTCTTATTCCTGAGCAGTGCATACTGGTGTTGGCAGTGGCTGGGATTGGCTGGGCAGATCCCTCCCCAAGCTCCTAGATGACACATGTGTTTTTAGTGCTGGCAGTAAGGTGGGTGGGCCCATCTTCAGGTTCCTAGGGAGAGTGAATAGATGGTATAAGTGTTGGAATGGATAGAAAAATCACCAAGTCCTTGGGTGGTGTGCTCAGGCTCAGAGATGTGATGCCAATCTGGAGTGTCTGTCCTCAGGCTCCTGATGGTGTGCAGGGGGATAGGCTGTAGTAGGCAAGCTGAGACAATATGTGATGGTTGGTATGGATACCTGATCATAGGGTTCGTGCTAGAAAGCACAGTGTCCCTGCTGTTGGTATGGGTAGGTTGCTATCAGCAGTCTCCTACAAGCAGCGCCCAGGCTCTGGGAAGTGAACCCAGAGCCTGAGAGCTGCTTGTAATCTCTGGTAGCAGCAGTGACTGTAGTGGTGAGTGTGAGGAGCCTGATTTTCAGATGTTCCCTAGAGCACAGAAACTATGCTGTTGGTATGGGCAGGATTGGCACAGGGAGTCTCCAGTTCTAGGCTGCACTTGTTTCAGCTCCCTGCTGCCGGAGTGACTTCAGCATTTTGCAGAGAGTGGAGATGAGGATCCCACCCTCTATTGGGTGCCAGAGCACATAACCACACTGCCAGAGGAGCAGGGTCACCACTCACAGCCCAGACATGCAGCTCTCAGGCTTACCTGCCCTTGGAGGCAGCAGCAGCAACAGCACCAAACAGACGTGAGAAAGAACCCCACCCTCTGTGAGCCAGCTTTAACACAGGCCACACTGCTAGTGGGAGCATGGTCACAACTCACAGCCCCAGACAAGCAGCCCTCTCTTGCCCATCCAGCCCCTGGATGGGCAGCTGCAGCAGCAGCAGAATGTGAGGAAGAAAAAGATCCCATTCTCTATGCTTAAGTCCCAGCACAGAGGCAATTCTGCCAGCAGGGATGTGGTCACTCCTTCCAGCCCCAGTCAGACAACTCTCAGGCCTGCTTGCCTTGGCTCCCACTGGCAGCAACTGCTATAGCACTGTGCAGGGGCAGGGGAAAAGATCCCACTCTCTGACTGTGAACCCAAGCACAGTATGTGACACAGTTAGAGGTGAAGGCACTTATCAAAGCCCCAGACAGAAAGCTCTCCAGCTCTGTAATTTGGCTTTCTTTGTTCCCAGTGGTTGCCTCGTTGGTGTGCTGCACCATTGTTTTTTTTCCAAGGAATAGCACTCTGTGGGACAAAAGTACTGGAGAACCCAAGCATCTATGGGCTCAGCCAGTGTTGTGCCTCTGTAGCCCTCTGGGTGAACACCAGGGTATATAAACAGAGGTTCCTAGGATGTGGAGATATGAGAGCTGTTGTTCCCAGAGCAGGATCCAGAGTGGTGATGACTAGGCTCTCACAATGGTGCTATGCAGCAGCCACTTAGGTCTCAAGGGTGAGTGCAACCCAGTACATTTTCTATCTGGTACAGTGCCTTCACTGGGTCTCCAGATCAACATCCACACTAGTCTTAGACCTAATGTGAGTGGAGGATCTCTCCCATGGTTAGGATTGCAACAGTCCACAGTAAGGATGTAAGCCAATGAGGGTCTTCCATTTACTCTTTCTCTGCAATAATGACCTCCTATGGGCTCCCAGACAATCTTGGCCAAGCTGGCCATTTGGTTTCTTCTCCTTCTGTGTCTCAAGTATTTCCTGTGATGTCTCTTAACCTCCAGTGTTCGCTACTAGATGTTCTATCTGAAGTGTGATTATCTATTTGGTTAAGTTTTGTTTCTTCTGTCTGGAGAAGGCAAGTGCCTGATACCTCTAGTCAGCATCTTGAACCTGTCTCTACATTTGAGACAGGTTTCTTCATCTAGTTTCTTGATGAAGATGTTTATTGCTGTAAAACACCTCCTTAGAACTGCTGTTGCTGTATCTCATAGGTTTTGGTTGTATTTCCACTTTCATTTGTTTCAAGAAATTTAATTTTTTCTTTGACTCATTTGTTGTTCAAGAGCGTGATGCTTAATGTCCAGGTATTTGTATAGTTTCCAAAGTTCCTTCTGTTACTGATTTCTGGTTTTATTCCACTGTAGTCAGAAAAGATACTTGATATGTTTTTAATCTTTCAAAAATTTGTTTAGACTTGCTTTGTGGCCTAACATATGATCTATCCTGGAAAGAGTTATATTTGTAAATGAGAAGAACATATATTCTGTTAGCTGCTGGGTGGAATGTTCTGTAAATGTCTATTAGGTTTATTTGCTTTAGAGTGCAGTTTAACTTTGATACTTCATTGATTTTGTCTAGAAGTTCTGTTCATTTCTCAAAGTGGTGTTTTGGTGTCCCTTACTATTATTGTATTGCTGTCTATCTCTCCCTTTAGATAAAATAAAAATTTGTTTTATATATTTGGGTGCTCCAGTGCTGGGTGCACATCTATTTGCTATTGTTATATTCTCTTGCTTAATATACTTCTTTATCATTATGTAAAGGCCTTCTTTGTCTCTTTTTATATTTTTTAAAATCTATTTTATCTGAAATAAGCATAGTGACTTCTGCTTACTTTTGGTTTCCATTTGCTTGGAATATCATTTTCCATCCCTTCACGTTCAGTCTATGTGTGTCTTTACAAGTGAAGTTCTTGCAGGAAGCATGTAATTGAGTCTTTTTTAAATCCATTCAGTCTATATTTTTTAATTGAGGAAATTAACTTGTTTACATTGAAAGTTATTATTGACACTTGAAGATATACTCTGACTTTGTTAATTGTTTTCTGGTTGTTTTGTATATCTTTCTTTCTTTATTCCCTTCTTATCTTTGTGGCTTGGTTGTTTTCTGTAGTGATAAACTTTGATTCCTTTTTCTTTTTCTTTTTTTTTTTGTTGCTTTCTATGTTTTTTAAAATTTTTTTGTGTGCCTTTTCCTTTTTCATTTTTTTTCTATGATTAGTATGAAATTTACATTTTATTGAAATCTACTCATTACCTGACCTTCTTCCGTAAACTGTTTCTTCTCCTTTATTCCCTATTGTGGTTAATAAACTGCAATATATTTGAAACAAAGCCCAAGATTTTAGATTTGCTAAGTAGCTCATGAGAACAACCTCCCTTTCTCATCTTCATGCTGCATTTTTGTTTAGGTTTTTAACTATCTCTCATCTAAATTGTTGCTATGTTGGGTTTGGGATTTTTTTTTCTTTTTTTTTCTTTGCCTTAGGTTTCACTTTTTATTGTGAGGCTGTTCTCCATACTGCTACCACGTGGTCTTTCCAAAATACAAATAACTTGCTAACTATTTCCCTGTTGTAATTTTTTATTTGTTCCCTTTTGTCTCTTTGATGAGTTTAAAACTTTTTAGTGTGGCATAAAAGACTTTTAATAATATAACTCCAACTAATTTTTCTAGTTTTTCCCATTATACCATTTTTCACTGTCTCATCACAGAGAAGCTATGCGCCTTTTACATGCTTCTTGCTTTTCTTTCAGTATAGCATATCCCATTTTAAAATAAAAATATGTACACTAGTATTTGGAAAACAATCCATCATTGAAAAATGTTATAAATTTTTGAAAATGGACATTTTCAACATATCTGAAGCGTAGTTTCCTTTCATTCGCAGTAGTTTCCCTTCACTTACAACTTTAGTATATTGAAAACTAGCATGTAGAATTTTGACCTTCTATTTTGATGCTATAATGAAACAACACAAAATTATAGCACAAGACAAGGAAATTCATCCTCACCTCAGGTCTTTATTTCCCAGGAACCAGCATTGTTGTACTATTTCTACTTCACCAAATATATTTTAATTGGTAATTAGCCTTTCCAAGGAGACTTTGAACTAATTGAATCATCCAGTAACATATTGATAATGTCATGAAATCTGAGAAGGGTAATAATGATTTCCTTGTCACTGGTTAGCTAGTCAGCAAAAAGCAAATCCATGATTCTCATTTATAACTTTCAATAGCAATAATTACAAGGTACTTGTGATGGTTTAGGCAGTTACAGGTATCCTAAAAATAGGTGATGATGAATTTCACATACTTTCTATTTCTAGGTGAAACATTACCGCCTTCCTTTACCACCTGGAATGTTTCTACTTACCTTTCAAGATCAATCCAAATGACAGCTTTTGACATCACATCTATTTTCCTGATAAAGCTAGCTGACAAATCTCCTTGCTTCTCATAATACTTGTAATATCTATCCTATTACACAGGTTTTATTTTTGGTTTTTATGTTTGTCTTTTAAGTAGCATTTCAGTTACTCAAGGATATGGATTTTATGTCAATCACTTAAAAAATGACCAGCCCTAGTGCAGTGACTGCTGTGACAAAGGTTCTGAATAAACATTTGCAGCAATGATACTTTTCTCCTTCTCCTCCATCCACATTTCCTGACATTTCTGAGCTTTTTCCTGCTTCAAAAATCTTTCAAAGATTAACTTTGCTTGGAGAGAAAATGTTGAATACACCATTGCTATAGTGACAAGCTTCACCTATTTCCATGTCTATTGCAGATTCCTCCATGTGAAAACGCCCTCCACATAATGTACTGTGAGTCTCAGAGAGGCACAAGAGATAGGGATATTGCAAAGAGGCTGCAATGTTCTTCACGACAGGATCTCAACTCCAAATGGAAAAAAAAATGTTCTGCAACCTCCACAATGTAAAATGAAAGTTAATGTATGGGAAATAAAGCCACCTGATTTTAACTACAAACTGTATACCTCCTTGAGAATTCCAGAAAGACCATCCAAACCCCTTAAGGAAGAAAAAAGGAGGAAAAAAAGCAGTTTTCCAGATATAATGCTTCACTTACCTAGCATAAGGAATCATCCTAAGAAGGCCATAACTCCTAAATTTATCACTACATTTCCACATCTGGATTCATCAAAAGCAAAGTTAATGTTTGTGAAGAGTGGACAATATCCAAAGGGTGTATATGTCAATCCCAAACCACATGATTTTCGACAGGTACAACAGAGAATTTGAATAAAAATACTTTAATATAGATAAGGGGAACTATGTATTATATTTCATTCATTTCTTAATGAGAAAAACTTTTGCATATGGAAAAAAAGGTGATATAATGTGTATAAGGATGCATCTTTTTTTTTTTTCTCACAGAACAACGCAATTAAGATTTAGCAATAAATGATAGAAAAGAGAGTAAGAACTTGATTGTTTCTGATGAGGTTTTATCTGCCAGGTCGAGTGGCCAATTTTGATGTGGACTTTCTTAGGTTTCAAGAGAACAAATTGGGTTTAGATCTGATTGGAGAACAGACATCAGATGCCAGGAGTTTATAATCTAGAAATAATAAAATAAATGTGTGGTGTAAATTAATGAATGAATGAAAATAGTTAAGAAGGGATACTCTATTACTTTAATGAATCTTTTGGATGATTAATAATTTAAATAATATATGGGCAATAATTAGATTTAGAATTTAAAAGGGTGATGAAGAATATGGAGATGCAAATAAGGTCAAACATGATTTATGCAAAATATGATTCCACTAAAATGTGAATATATTACATTCTTAGTTTTCTAATTTAGCACATAAAATGACTCTTGCTAGGCAAAGATGCATTAGAACTAATAGTACAGGATCTAGAAATAGTGAGATAAAAGAATAAATGTATTCCAGTGGGAAGGTATAGAATAGTAGTTAAGAGCATGACTTCTGAGATCAGAGTATCCCTGTTCTTTTACTTTCTAATAACTTTGGACAAGATACTAAGCCTTTTTCATTATTTATAATGTGGGTTAACAATGCTACATATTTTATGTGGTTATTTTAAGTTATGAATGAACACATGCAAAGCACAACAGAATTTGAAATGTTGAGGTATTCAATTAATGTCAACTCTATGAGCCATTAGGAGAAAATTTGGAAAATCCAGGGAGCCATAGTCAATAACTCTCTTTATGTATTCAGGGCAGCTAAATACTTTGATTCATAGTAAATAACATGTTACCTTTTGGAGATGAGGAAGGTCATTTAAATATTCAATGTTACTGGTTTATTTACATACTTTAGTAAGCTAGTCATGGTGGCTGATGCCAGTAATTCCAGCACTTTGGGATGTCGAGGTAGGCAGATCATGAGGTCAGGCGTTCAAGACCAGCCTGACCAACATGGTGAAACTCTGTCTCTACCAAAAATAAAAAAATTAGCCAGGCAGCCAGGCATGGTTGCATGCACCTATAATCTCAGCTACTTAAGAGGCTGAGGCAGGAGAATCACTTGAACCCCGGAGGCAGAGGTTGCAGTGAATCGAAATCACGCCACTACACTCCAACCTGGGCGACAAAGCGACTCTGTCTCAAAATAAATATATTTTAAAAATAAGTAATTTACTAACCACAGACTTACAAAAGGAATGGGGGATATTTTTATTTTAGCAGAATTAACTTGTTTCTATAAATGAGTCAATTGGAGGCAGAGTGTTATAAATTATGTAACCACCAGATGTCAGTATTGTCACTAATTAAACCTCAATGAAAGCTTTTTGAAAGGAACTTGGTTTCGTGTTGTATTCAATTAAGACTCAAAAATCTCGTATTAGAGAATCTCCTTCTTTGGAACTTTTAATATTGTTCTATATGCTTGTGGCAGGTGATGCATTAAGAATAGAATCCTGTTTAACTTCTGCTTGGTACCCTCACTGTTTCATGTCACATTTACTTAGCTTTTGCGTAGAGACCTTTGTGATGTTTTATTTGATCAGTTCATGGAGTCTACAAATTCTATTTCAGTTAAAATTGGTTCACTTAAACCACTAAAAATGCTATTTTGTTTATAGCTTATATGTAAAAAAAAAAATAGTAACTCCATTCCAAGTTTGACAAATTATTTAGCTTTGTTCAATATTTTTGCTACATTGCTGAAGTAAGTTCAGCTCCAGAAAAATAATATGCAATTCTATGTGTCATAAATTAAGATCAAGTTTAGGATTAAGTTGTCAAATTTTGAACAGGCTCCCTTAATTCCACACTGTTTAAGATAATATTTCTGATCTATTCACAAAAGGGTAATTGAAGTACTCCTCCCCACCACAAAATGAATTGTCTGTACACTATTTAAATCTCAGATTATTCTTTCAAATTTTCATAAACAAGCTTTAAATACTACATTTGAATGCCACAACAAAATTGTCAAAATTACATTTTGCCAAGGAAATATTTACTATTAGGAAAAATCAAATTCCAACTACAATAAGAAACAATGTATGTATTGGTAATATTGCAATCTTTTCTTTACATATCTAGTACCAACCTGGTTTACCCAATTTTAAGACAACTTATGAAAAGGACCCCTTTGGATTAAAATTTAAGTCACAATCCTTAAGTACAGGTAAGCTGTTATGATGTTATGAATATTGCAAAAAATAAACTCTGCATTATATATTAGTAGAACTGTAAAAGCTTATAACTAAACAGGTGGATTTTATCATCACCTTTAATAATATGGTAAATTTTTAAATGCCGTTTTGATTATTTGCAACAATACATTTACTTTGCTACCACAACTGTTAATATATTATTAAAGATTCTTTTTGTGACCCAATGTGTCATGTATAGAGAATAAATGGACTGTAATGCTTAAGAGAATAAACTCTAGAGCCATGCTGTGCAACTCTGAATCTTGGCTTTACTGCCCTAAATCACCTAAACTGTCTATCTATTGGTTTCCCCAGCTGAAGATGCAGATGATAACAACTATATCTACATCATAGAATTAATGTGAGCCTTAAATGTGCTAAAGGCACTTAGTAATGTATTAAAAAGCACATGGAAATAACATACAAACAGGCATGCTATTATTACTGTTATAGTGCCATTTGTTAAGTGTTAATTCAGAGTTAATTTGTATTATTCAGCATTTCTTATTTGGATTAGGATGGATAATATCTGAATGCTATATTTATATATTATAATTATATATAAATTCAAACAAAATGTTAACAGTGATTGTCTCTAACTAGTGAGTTCACAGTAACAATTTATTTCCTCTTTTTCAAAATGAGCAAATAATTTCATACCTATAAAACTACAATAATTTATTTTAAAATAATGTACAAATTTTAACATGTGTTATAAAAGTGTCATCTAGGTGTGTAATTAAAATGGAACATGTCAACTTTCCTAGTATATGCTATGTGTAACTCATTTTGGTAGAAAATGCCAAAGATACTTTATAAGGCCCTCAAGCTTAAAAATATTTTAAGTAAAACCTAAGGTAGAATGTAAATGTGAAATATACCATCCAAAAGGAGATACTTTAGAAAGACACATCCACAGAAATAAATGATGGGATTGGAAGTGGAGTTTGGAAGTGGAGTTTGGATTTGGAAGTGGAGAAAAAATAAGAAAAGTTTTTTTTAGATTTATATCTATAAATTATTCAGCAACTTACCCCTTCTGGGTCCTGATCTCCAAAAATGATACACCTGAGATACATCATGAACAAATACATGTGTCATTGCTAAGCTTTTCATTTGTCTTCATATCTCTAGTACAGGGATGCCATTTACTGAAAGATGATAAACAGAAGAACACTACAGAAAAATTTATCACCCACAAGGGTCGTGAATGCACCTGGGATTCAAAACTAATTCTGACGAAACACCCATGGCCTGTTAGATCTGCTTCATATACAGTGAGTTTGACTTTCTCTGCAGCTGTTGGGAAATGCTTCCAGCACTGTTGTCAACAATTGCTTTAGTGCAGGAGTTTTTTATTCCTTGCAGTGTAAAATATACTTATGTCTTTGAAAATAAAGCATATAGTCTCTGCTTTTTTTTTAAATGCAAATAGTGGATTATCTAAAATTTTGGATTTTCTTTTCTTATTACAAATAGAATTGGTATAGTGGAATAATGTGTTGATGAAAAAGCCAAACTCTGTAAAATAGTTGAAGAGATTTTTTCAGAGTCAAATTGATGATCATGACCTGTAACAGTCTCAGGAGGTCCTGAGAACATTTGGCTTAAGGTGGTTCTTTTACAGTATGATTTTATACATTTTAGGGAGACAAGTTATAGGCAAAGATATAAATCAATATATATAAGGTGTACATTGGTTTGGCCTGGGAATGCAGGACACTTCGAATCTTGGAGGCTTCCAGGTCGTAAGTACATGTGAAGCAGGGCAGACAAGCCCAAAAACTGGGGCATAGGCTGGGAAGGTTCATGGCTTCATCCAAGAAAGAATTCAAGGGCAGGCCTGTGGTGTAAGATGGCATCTTTTATTCAAGCGGCAGTGTGCATAAGCAGCAGAAGCATAGATACCCCATATGCACAATCCCCATGTAGCAGCTCAGGGGCACTTCTGCAGTCATATTTACACCCACTTTTAATTACATGCAAATTAAGGGGTGGGTTATCCAGAAATTCCTAGAAAAGTGGTGGTACCTTCTGGATCCTGCCACAGCAATGGTCAACGGTCATGACACTGGTGGGGCTGTCTCTTGGAGAGATGCTTTCAATGCCTCTTCCCTGCTTCAACTAGTCTTCCATCTGGTCTGGAGTTGAGTCCCACCTCCTACCTCAGATTCAAAGATTCTCCGATTGGCAACTGGTTGAAAGAGTTAGCTTTGTCTAGAGGGGTTAAGTAAGCTTGAGTTAAGGTGAAGAGTGGGGATTGTGGAAGCCAAGGTTCTTGTCATGAAGTCAAAGACTCCAGGTAGCAGGCTTCAGAAACAATAGATGTGAAGGTCTTATCAGACCTTAAAAGATACGAGACTGTCTGCAAAAGAGCGATAGCTTTGCAGGGCCATTTTGAAATATGCCAAAACATAGTACATTTGGGGGTAAAATACTTTTATTTCCTTCAGAGCCTGCTATTTGTCATGTAATGCTACACTAGAGTCAGGTTGAAATGTGTATCTTATTGCTACAAAGAGTTGTTTGTCAGTCTTAAGGTCTCTGTTTTAATGTTATGCTGGTGAGTTGTGCCTGAATTCCAAAGGGAGGAGGGTGTAATGAGCCATGTCCCACCTTTTCTTCCCATCAGAGTCTGAACTTTCTTTTCAGGTTTCTTTGTGTCCCCTCACTCATGAAAGGGGGCCATTCATTTGGTTGGGGGGTGGAGGGCTTAGAGTTTTATTTTTGTTTTATGAAGGCTTAAATATTGTAAGAAATTTTCCCCAAATTTCCTCTTATATAATTGGGAATCACCAGAAGTTCAGTGAATGATACTCACATGAGAAGGCCTGAAAAGTCAGCTCTGTGATACAATCATAAAAATAAAATGTTGGAGCACATAATTTTACCCTGGCTGAAATTCTGCCCTAGTCACATAAGGATGTTTTAAGCCCTTTATGTCTAAGCAGAACAAGGTGTGAATCTGGATTACACATACACATTTAAAGCAAAGACTATTAAATAGCAAATTTTAACAAATAAACAATTAAAGTTAATACATGTCTGTCTGCTTTTACTCACTTCCTTCGTACCATCTTCCTTCAGAGACATAGAAGGCGGCGTGATGCATACAGTGCATTTATGGATCGTGTGGAAGAAAAGTTTACAAAGATATGCAAGAGCAGGTGGGCAAAAAAATTAGGATTTGTTGTTAAATACTTTTATTAACTCTTTAACATTACTACTCAATTTCTGTTTTAATAAAACATTTTATCATATAAATGCTCTACTGTCAGAGGAACTATAGGTGAAGTAGTTGCATGGTGCTTAACTGTTTTAAGTGGAGCCTAAAAGAATCCAGTCCCTTTATCAAATTATTATTATTTGAGAATTTCATTGCAACCTGTTTTCTAGGTGCATAATCACCTCTCACAGCTCTCTTTATTCACATGTCAATGTCATCTCTGAGAAGTGGGGGGGAGGATAGATTAATGTCATAGATAGAGTTTAGGCTTTGAGTTTGATGAAATGAGTTCAAATTAAGAGTAATACCTACAATTTGTGATCCTGGATGATTTGCTTAAATTTTCTGAGCCTATTTTCTCAGGTTTTTGGAGAATTAAATAAGATGACATATATAAACTGCCGGCACAGTCCCTCATATCTTCTTGATTCAATTATTACTATTATTGTGAATGATAATATAGAGATATGGCAGGCCGGGCGCGGTGGCTCAAGCCTGTAATCCCAGCACTTTGGGAGGCCGAGGCGGGTGGATCACGAGGTCAAGAGATCAAGACCATCCTGGTCAACATGGTGAAACCCCGTCTCTACTAAAAATAAATACAAAAAATTAGCTGGGCATGGTGGTGCGTGCCTGTAATCCCAGCTACTCAGGAGGCTGAGGCAGGAGAATTGCCTGAACCCAGGAGGCGGAGGGTGCGGTGAGCTGAGATCGTGCCATTGCACTCCAGCCTGGGTAACATGAGTGAAACTCCGTCTCAAAAAAAAAATATATATATATATATATATAGAGAGAGAGAGAGAGAGAGAGATATGGCCTTGCATGACCATAGAAAAGTAACATATTGCCTGTGGCTCAGTTTTCTCATCTGTAGAAGATGAGTAATAATAGTACCAACTCTGTAGAGTTACTAGTGAACAGCTGCATTGTCTGGGGAATTACCCGTGGTTTGTTGTCTCACGCTGAGAAAGAATTCAGGGCACGGACACATGTGGGTGGATTAAGGAGCAGAAAATTTAATAGAAAGACTAAAGGAGAGAGGAGAGCAGCCCCTTGCCAGAGAGAAAGAGAAACGTCAGTAAAACAGGAAGGCAGGCCTACTGCAGCAGATTTTATAGGCAGGCTAGAGGAGGCGGTGTGTGATTTACACAGATCCCACAGATTGCTTTAATCAGATGTCACATTTACACAGCTATGGGAAGGCTGGCCACCCCACCCTAACTTTATTATGCAAATAGACTCTCCACTTGACCAGCACCACCTTGTCTGTTCTTTACTATACATGTGGCTGGTAAAGGGAAGGGAAGAGGGAGCCGCCATTTTGAAAATGCTTAGTCTCTGGTAGTTATTTTCTGCCAGCATTCACTGGTGCCAGTGTCCAGCTTGCTTGTTTGTGTCTGCAGCTGCTTTTTGTTAGAAAATGATTTGGGACTGCTTTTCATTAAAAAGACAAACCTTACCAAGGACTTCCATAACCCATCTGCCTAAGTAATTTCCTCTTAACTCCTGTATTGCCATGAATAGTCAAAGTTTGTATATGTGAAACACTTGGAACATGGCACATGACACTTAGTAATTGCTACCTAAGTATTTTATGAGCAACAATTCAAAACCATGCATTTTTTTGTGTGCAAAATAAAATATATAAAATGTCTAGGGACTAATAAAGTCAAGAGCTTTATGAAATCTGAGAAAGAGAGGCTACTCAGTAAGATTAGTCTTTGGATTTGTATGAGGGACTACACAGAGTGAACAGTCGGCAGATAGCTATCTCCAAGAGAACCACATGACAGATGAAAAAAGAGTAGATAGGTGGCCAGAAAGCTGTCTCCACATGGGCAAGAATTTGCTTTAAGTGGTAAGTATGAAATCATCCAACTAATGATTTGAGATGTAGACTTGTTCTGACAAAGTTTACAAAATGGTTGTCTTAAAATGCAAACATCCTGCCATTTGGGCATAAAATTATTGATTCGTGTAGCATAGTGGGAGCTTCTCCTATATAGTTGATGTACTAGAGCTTAGTTATTGGTGTCTCAACATAGAAGAAAATGGCATGGTGGTCCATCACCAAAAGTTTCTTTTTTGAAGGTTGTTTTTTCTTTTTTGAGATGGAGTCTTGCTCTATCACCCAGGCTGGAGGGCGGTGGTATGATCTCAGCTCACTGCAACCTCTGCCTCCAAGATTCAAGCAATTCTCCTGGCTCAGCCTCCCGAGTAGCTGGGATTACAGGCACCCGCCACCACACTTGCCTAATTTTTGTATTTTTAGTAGAGACAGGGCATCACCACGTTGGCCAGGCTGGCCTTGAACTCCAGACCTCAGGTGATCAACCCACCTCAGCCTTCCAAAGTGCTGGGATTACAGGCATGAACCACCGGACCCAGTCACTAAAAGTTTCTTAAAGTGGTTGCAGAAAATCATAGATCACTACTGCTGCCTGTAGCACTGTGAATTCATGGCCTCTATCTTTTTTTGAAAACTTCAACCTTCATAGGTGTCACTAGGAAGTATACTTCAGAAACAAATCTACCTCAACATTTCACAGGCTTCTCACAATAGAAATGTTTTCATCTGAAGTCATAGTTCCTCTTATTATTTAATGTATTTAGCAAACAGATTCCCATGAAGGTTTAAATAAAATGGCTTTATTTTTCTCAAATCATGAATTTTAATTATGCTGTGTTGGATCTCCCTCCCCTCATCTTGAGAACAACTTTGGCAGAACCTATAGATTTTCAACACTTCATTTGTACTAGCCCTGTCTTTTGTATAATTTAAATGCACATTCAACTATGAAAAAGTTATGTAACTCAATTTAAAAATAATCTGTAATTTAAGATATGTTCAGCCATGAAAATTCAGAATAAGAAATAAATATGACTTCTATTTCACATTGTGCATAAAGAAATAAATTCATGTGGATTGTAGATCTAAATGTGAAAGGAAAAATAATGACATTTCTGGAATACATTTAGATGATTAAATGATATATTAAAAAGAACTACAAAAGCACTATCTGTTAAGAAAAAATTATTGAATGTTCTACTTGAACATTCAAACTACAAACTTCCATCAAAAAACATCATTAGGAGAGTGAAAAGGCAGACAGAGAGCTTAGAGAGAAAATATTTGCTATTCATTTAAGCAAGAAAATTGTTTGTATTAATGATATATAAAGAACTCATGTAAATAAGAAATAGGCATATAATCCAATGGAAAATAACAGGAGGCCAGGCATGGTGGCTCACTTCTGTAATTCCAACACTGATCGGCCAAAGTGGGAGGAACTCTTGAAGCCAGGAGTTTGAGATCAGCATGGACAACATTGGGAAACCCTGACTCTACAAAAAATTTTAAAAATTAGCCAGGTGTGGTGGTACACACCTGTGGTCCCAGCTACATGAGAGGCTGAGGCAGGAGAATTACTTTGAGCCCAGAAAGTTGAGGCTGCAGTGTTTCTTCTGCTGCATTCCAGCCTGGGTGACAGAGCAAGACTCTGCCTCAAAGAAAGAGAGGAAGGGAAGGAAAGAAAAAGGAAGGAAACAGGGATTTCATACAAGAAAATCTCTAAATGACAAAACATGAAAATGGCTTCACAAGTAATCAGAGAAATATGCAGTAAGATGCACAATGGAATTCTGTTGCACAGCCACCAAAATAGCTAAAATAAAAAGATAGACAACCAGAAGCATAGGATTATTCATTCGTTTTCATGCTGCTGATTAAGACATAACTGAGACTGGGCAATTTATAAAAGAAAGAGATTTATTGGACTTACAGTTCCACATAGCTTGGGAGACCTCATAATCATGGCGGAAGGCAAGGATGAGTAAATCATATCTTATGTGGATAGCAGCAGGCCAGAAAAGAACTTGTGCAGGGAAACTCTTGTTTTTAAAAGCCATCAGATCTCATGAGACCCATTTGCTATCAGTAGAAAAGCATGGAAAAGACCTGTCTCCATGATTCAGTTACCTCCCACTGGGTCCCTCCCACAACATGTGGGAATTCAGGATGAGATTTGGGTGATGACACAGCCAAATCATATCATTCCACCTCTGGCCCCTCCCAAATATCATGTCCTCACATTTCAAAACCAATCATGCCTTCCCAACACTCTCCCAAAGTTTTAACTCCTTTCAGCATTAACTCAAAAGTCCACAGTCCAACATCTCATCTGAAACAAAGCAAGTCCCTTCTGCCTATGAGGCTGTCAAATCAAATGCAAATCAGTTATTTCCTAGATAAAATGGGGTACAGGCATTGGATTAATACAGCAGTTCCAAATGGGAGAAATTGGCCAAAACAAGGGGGCCATAGACCCCATGCAAGTCTGAAATCCAACGCAACAGTCAAACTTTAAAGCTTCAAAATGATGTCCTTTGTCTCCATGTCTCACGTACCAGTCAGACTGATGCAAGAGGTGGGTTCCCATGGATTTGGGGAGTCCTGTCCCTGTGGCTGTGCAGGGTACAGCCTCCCTCCCAGCTGCCCTCATGGGCTGGTGTGAAGTGTCTGTGGCTTTTTCGGGTGCACAGTGCCAGCTGAGAGTGAGTCTACCATTCTAGTGTCTGGAGAACAGTGACCCTCTTCTCACAGCTCCAATAGGTGGTGCCCCAGTAGTGACTCTGTGTGGGAGCTCCCACTCTGCATTTCCCTTCTGCACTGCCCTAACAGAGGTTCTCCATGAGGACCCTATCCCTACAGCAAATCTCTGCTTGGGCACCCAGATGTTTCCCTACATCTTCTGAAATCTAGCCAGCGGTTCCCAAACCTCAATTCTTGACTTCTGTGCATTCGCAGGCTCAACACCATGTGGAAGCTGCCATGGCTTGAGGCTGGCACCCTCTGAAGCCATGGTCTTTTTCCTCCTAGGCCTCTGGGTCTGTGATGGGAGGGGCTGCCACAGAGGTCTCAGACACCCTGGGGACATTTCTCTCATTGTCTTGGGGCTTAACATTCAGCTCATCATTACTTATGCAAATTTCTGCAGCCAGCTTGAATTTCTCCTTAGAAAATGGAATTTTCTTTTCTATCGCAGTGTCAGACTGCAAATTTTCTGAACTTTTATGCTGTGTCCCTTATAAAACTGAACACCTTTAACAGCACCCAAGTCAACTCTTAAATGCTTGGTTGCTTAGAAATTTCTTCTGCCAGATACCCTAAATTATCTCTCTCAAGTTCAAAGTTCCATAAATCTCTAGGGCAGTAGCAAAATGCTGCCAGTCTCTTTGCTAAAACATGACAAGAGTCACCTTTACTCCAATTTTCAACAAGTTCCTCATTTTCACCTGAGATCACTTCAACCTGTGCTTTATTGTCTATATCACTATCAGCATGCTGGTCAAAGCCATTCAACAAGTCTCTAGGAAATTCCAAACGTTCGCACATTTTCCTATCTTCTTCTGAGCCTTCCACGCTGTTTCAACCCCTGCCTGTTACCCAGTTCCACAGTTGCTTCCACATTTTCAGGTATCTGTTCAGCAGCGCCCCACTCTACTGGTACCAATTTACTGGATTAGTTCTTTTTCATGTTGGCGATAAAGACATACCCAAGACTGGGCAATTTACAAAAGAAAGAGGTTTATTGGACTTACAGCATGACATGTCTGGGGAGGCCTCACAATCATGGCGGATGATGAAAGGCATATCTCACATGGCAGCAGACAAGAGAAGAGAGCTTGTGCAGGGAAATTCCCACTTTTAAAGCCATCAGATCTGGTGAGACTCATTCATTATTACTAAGGCAGCACAGGTAAGACCTGCCCCCATAATTCAATCACCTCTTACTGGGTTTCTCCCATGACACATGGGAATTGTGGGAGTTGCAATTCAAGAGGAGATTTGGGTGGGGATACAACCAAACCATATCTATAGGCAAGGGTGTGGAGAAATTAGAACTCCTATACACTGCTTGAGAGAGGAGAACTGGGCAAGTACTTTGGAAAAATATTTTGCAATATATTCTGAAGTTCAATGTATACACCCATATAATTTATGACACAAAATTTCATTCTAAATGCTATAAAATAAACTGATATATATATATATATATATTCGTATGCACTAAAAGATATACATAGGAATGCTTACAGCAGAATTATCTTTGATAATCTTTAGAGACAAGGCCAATGGCGATAAATAATAGAATGGATACATAAAGTGTGACATATTTACACAATAGATTAATCAGCAAAAAAAATGAACAAAATGCTGCTATATGCAAGCAATAGGTATGAGTCTCACAAAGATACCAAGGAGTTTTTTTAAAGCCAGGTGCCATATATATGTACAATGTATATATATATATATATATATATATATATACACACACACACACACACACACACACATCTGTATATGCTGTATTATTATTCCATTTATATAAAGGAAAACTCTTGTCAATGTGTAAGAAATCAGGAAATTGGCTTCCTTGGTTTGAGGGGAAGGAGTACAATAGCCTTCTGGGTCCTGGAAACGTAATATTTTCTGACATTGATGTTGGTTACATAGATACATTCACTTTGTGATACTCCATAGAAATATTTATTTAATATCTATGCACATTCTACATGTATGTAAAACTTTAATAATTTTTTTGGTTGTGAGATTCTTTTTAATTGCTTTGAATTTCAAAAAGAAGGCAAGCATCATTCATTCTAAATTAACACTCTAATCTCACATCCAATTCAAAATTTCTTTGCTGTTTTCAACAAAAGCCTGCCCTGTAGGATATGGGAAAGAGAACATTGTCTCTTGTTTCTCTCTTTCTGTACCTTGTCTCAATCACACTCCATTGCTTCTTGATCTGCCTTTTATCTCCAAGGTGTTGGTGTCCAGAGGAGAAATGGAAGAAACAGGGGCAAAAAGCTCAGGTAAGAGAGACTACTGTAATCGGCCATGACATCCTCTGTGTGGCTGATGTCCAAATCGTGACTGGCTTGTGGAGGACGTTTTTGTGCATTATTCTCTGTCCTAGACGGAGGCCTCATTCAGCACAGTCCTCTGAGAACCAAAGTCCAGCAACTTACCCTAAGTCCCTCCCTCAGCCCACTACCTCTTATCAGTCTGAGAAGAGACATCTTATCATTGGTGGGATTACTCACAAGACAAGTGGATCTCATCTATTTCATTAATTCACGGTATTTACAGAACCCTCTATACAGCTCACCAAATGGTGTTGAGTACAGAAGACCCCCATTTTCCTTTCTCCTTTCCTTCACATTGTGAGCCACTCATTTTTTCATCTCTAGATACAAAGTAGGCAGCATGCTCTATGATCAAATGCACATCCTTAAAACCTCTTGGGGACATACATGAAACCACTCCTCTACCAGGAGCTCCTGAACCACCTCGTACTAAGGGGCCCTACAGATAGGCCCTGCAGTTCTGTAGCTCAGCAATCACTCATCTAGAGCAAGCCTGCTGGTTTCCTCCTCTCATATGCACCCTCAATCTTTATAAATGATAATCCTGAGCATCCATGAGTTGGCTTTGCAGAGATTATCTTTTGTTTTTTTCTCACAGAAATCAGAAATGGGTATTCCTCAGGGCTTTCCCCCAAGGTTAATGATGCCTACTTTAAAAACAAGGCCTTCAGATGTTCAATTGTTGAATTCCTTAATTTGGATGGAATAGAGCCTGTGAGTAGGTGGTCTGTCCTATTCACCTTTTAAAGATAGGACTTCTAGCAGTTTCTCTATGGTGTCACCAAAACACCGGGGGTTTATTCTAGATCCTGCTGCTCAACACACAGAAAGCCAATCACTGAGACAATGAGTATTGTCAAGAAAGAAGGCTTTAATCCAGTGCTGCAGCCAAGGAGATTGGCGCTCAGTCTCAAATTCATCTCTCTGACCCAGCTAAACCTATGGGTTTATATAGCAGGGAAGTAACATAACAATGTGTAAGAAAACAAGAACTAGGGAGGCGCAAGGATGCAATTATGATGAATGAGGGCTCCAAAAAGAACAGTTTATGGGATTATTGGATTGGTTTCAATGGACCATAGGAGTACCTGTATCCTAGTGTTGGCTTTGAGGGTTTTCCCCATTTCAAGACAACAGAAAACACATCCCATTTCTACATCCTTTAAAAACTTGTAGTCCTTCCCTAAAGGAGCTCCTACCTCCTCTCACCTAAGTGAGAAGCCTCATTGTAATGCTTCCCTGCACTATTCTACCTTATTGGTACTAATGGAAAAGGAAAAGTTGAATTATGTAAAACAGAATGTATTTAGAAGCCCTTATTTTTGCAGCATTTAATTGGCATTTATATATCAAACTTAGCAATGAGCAATCATTTTCATAGGTATAACCTTACTCAGTTGTCTTCTGACCATGCAATGTTTAGTCAGGTATTATAATTCTTATTATTGGAGATAATTATTATTATTGTGATAATTTTATAAGCTGGGAAACTAAAGTTTTCACTGGGAATTTAATGTTAACATCACTTATTCAAATGGCGCTTCACAACACCTTGTACTTGCCCTCAGTTGAATGTGCCTGCTTTCTGATAAATACGAAAAATGAATTTGACTCTTTGGCCAACAGAGTATATTTCTACTTCCACATCATAGTTGTAGTCATGTGCATGATTCTTTTTTGTTATCGTGCCTTTATAAGCTTGGTTTTCATTATTTCTGTAGTGAATAAGAGGATTAAGCAAATGATATCTAGCATTTGCAGCCAAGTTTCTGTTCCCAGGAGTGATCTATCAAGTAAGTCACCCTTTATAGAAGTTGATTCAGTGAGTTCTGCTCACACATTTTTCTTTTGTTCATTTTAATAGCTGATGGACCAAACCAGCATAGGGCTTCCTGAACTCTGGCCTGAATGTTCATCTCCCATGCATTTCCCAGTGAGGAATGAATTTTGGCACCTTCCTGGATTCTACAGAAATCTACACTCTCCCAGAGGCATGAGAAAGTGCTAAAACAACAAATGAAAGTTGCGTAATTTGAAATGCCCTTGTTACAACATGGATCAGAATCCAATCATCAGGCTTTGGATTTAGTCTGTGAAACTTAGATCTATGAGTGCTGATAATGTTGTGCTTTCTGTTAATACCCCAGCTTAAAGAGATGCCCCAGTCTCAGGTAAAGCTAACGTGAGATGAATGAACAACAATATGCTTACTAATTTTGACCACCATGTCCCTCTAAGGCCAGAGATTGCAACTGTTTGCATCTTTCATGGAAATAAGAATTATTTGGATGTAGCATATATTCTACTAAAGGATGACTGTTATGCTGGGTGGGGAAGTAACAGTTAAAAATCAAAGATTTTTATTCAAAAAAATAGACAATAAGATAGCAACCAGAGCTGAAGTCATTCAAATATAAATGTGGCACTTTCTCAGGAGATATCATCCAAAGATTTAAAAAAATAGGAAAGTTTAATTCATGACACAGTGAAGTTCTCCTACAGTTTAAATTGTTCCTAGAAATAGATTTTATTTCAGGAATCAAAGAATGCCAGATGGTTAGTGATATTGTTTATTTCTGGGAAAAAAAAGAGTATATTTATGACCTTTGTATTCACATACGCAAGGTGGGATAGGCTGAAACAATCAACATTTACTTAGTATGTTTATGGTATATCGAAATCAATATTTGGATGTTCATTTTTCAGTTTTTTCAATATACTTTAAGACACCTATCTGAGACACACAAGTATATCAAGGGAGAAGATCTCCAACTAACAGAAATAATAAATGTCCTTCTTAAAGATCATCAGGCTTGGAGAATTTATAGTTCCAACTAGAGGGAAAGGTCTCTCTTTTAGCATGTTAAAACAATTTTCTAAATTTTTAAAAAATATTTTCAAGGAAAGAAAACAAATGACTTGAAATTTCTTCTTTGCTTCTGATCAAAATTTGATGATTATAATTTAAAATTAATAAAAGGGGAGGGTAGGATTTAATGCTACTGCCAGTTTTATCGAATGGATTATCCTATCAGCTTTCCAATTTCACTATGAAAACTGTTGAAATAAAGACAAGTAAGTATTTAATAGCTTTGTTTACATAAGCAACATTAAGTGGAAAAATGAGGCAATGAAATTAAATCATTTCCCAAAGGATGTTTTGCATAATTTAAGTTCCCTGGAATTTGAATGTGTAATCCATGAAAAGAAATGTGCTCTTTAGAAAAATCAAGGCAGCAAATACTGGATTAAATAAATCAGATACCTGAATTTACTCAGGATATGTGAGTAGAAAGGTAGAAGTGCCCCAGGACTTAGTCCTTGGCCTGATCTCTTTCCTATCTGTGTACACTGTCTTGGTAATCTCATCCTTTTATTTATTTATTTATTTTTTAGAGACAGGATCTTGCTTTCTTGCCTAGGCTGGAGCGCAGTGACACAGTCATGACCCACTGTAATCTCAAACTCCTGGTTTTGATTCTCCCACCTCAGCCTCCTAATGTCATTAATTCTTATTGCTTTAAATGTCATCTTCACACACAAGACTTCCTAATATGTATACCCAGCTCTGAAATATCTTCCAAACTCTAGACTTAGATGCTTATCTAGGGCAACCTACTTGACATCTCCTCATGATCTCTTATTAGACATCCTCTCAAACTCACCAGATCCAAAATTTAACTGTGATATTTTTTCCAATCCCTGCACAGTTTTGCTTATCTCAGTTAATAGCAATTCCATTCTTACGCTTGCTAAGGCAAAAAATAAAAATAAAATGGAGATATCCTTTTTTTCATTTTTTATCTCTTTGAGCTGTTATATCATGAACCAACAAGTTTCCACTGCCTTTAGTAAATACATTGGCCCAAACCCTGTCTTCTCTTGCTTTAATTATTATAATAGCTTCCTATCTACAGGTCCCCTGGAGGCGACATCCACCTCAGTCTATCCTCAACACAACAGCAGTGTTGTCTGTCTGACTTTTTAAAATGCAATTTTTATCATATTATTCTTCTACTTAGAACCCTCCAATGTCTTTACATCTTAAGCTGAAGTTCTTCTAACGTCCTTCGTTATGTAGTTCTGGTTATTTCTCTGTGCTCATCTCCAACTACCTTTCTCCAATCACTGGGCTCCTCCAACTAATAGAGAAACCTCATGAAGGAAGGAATTTTGTCATGTATTCACTGCTGTGTCCCAGTGCCAAGTAGAGTATCTGATGTACAGTAAGTAGATTCTCCTATATAGTTATCAATGAATTACTTCACTCAAATAGTCTGAGAGTTGTATACAGTATAGATGACTTAGTTATTGATTCCCACGCTGGGGAGCCCACAAAAATCAGTCATCCACTAGCAGTTGAAGAGAACTAAGTCTGATTTGTAGGTAAGAACTTTTATTTATAAATTAATACTTCTGTGGAGTCATTTGCTCTTCCACTGTTTTGCATCTGTCAGGAATGCTAAAATTTTAAGATTCTCGTTCATTGCACTTAAAGTGGAAATACTACACCATGAGGTGAAAAATGAAACTTTTGGGGAAATGCTTGCACTTAAATTATTGGTAAGTATATGTCTTTTCATTAGAGCCAGACAAATATTGGCTTAACTTCAAGGCTTGCTGAGAACATTAATGATTAGCTGCTCAAATCAGCATGAAATAAATAGCCTACATTAACATAAAACTATGGTACCTATGCTCACATCCTTGCAAATAATAGATAACAGCAATCTATAAACATCTGGTTATATTTATCTTCGTGTACTGTTTGTGAATTCTGGATTACAAAGTGACTTTCAGAACAATATTAGATTATGCCATAGCTGAATTTTAAGGAAAATACCATGCTGTTAGTTTACAGAAGAAGGACAGTAAAAGCCAAGCTATATGTTTGTAATATATCAAGGACTTGGCTGCATCAAAGCATAATTTTCGAAAAGTCAGACAATAACTTGTATGTATATTATTAGTTGAAAATGAAATCTTTCAAGCCTTCTAAAATATCTCATAAACTGGTTGCGGTGGCTCACACCTGTAATCCCAGCACTTTAGGAGGCTGAGACAGGCAGATCACAAGACCATCCTGGCCAACAAGGTGAAACCCCGTCTCTACTTAAAAATACAAAAATCAGCTCAGCATGGTGGCCGGCACCTCTAATCCCAGCTACTCAGGAGGCTGAGGAGGAGAACTGCTTGACCCCAGGAGGTGGAGGTTGCAGTGAGCCAAGATCACACCACTGCACTCCAGGCTGGGCAACAGAGTGAGACTCTGCCTCAATTTAAAACAAACAAACAAACCTATTAAATCACTAGACTGAACACATAGCAAAGATTTATAACTCTTTACTAAGGGACTCAAGAAGATGAGAAATGTGGATAAAAGACCATTTTGAAATTCTGGACATTTGTATACGTGTTTAAAAAATATATTTATGGGCTTTCTAGGTTATTTACAAAGCTGCTTATCTTTCAGGACAATAAAACCATAATCGATAGAATTATCCCCTCCACCAGAGAGAAATCATTTGCATTCCTACTGGAATGAAATCTACCACCTAATATGTAATTTTACAGAGTCAGGACCTTAGTTAATGATGAACAGTGAGTCATACAGAGCTGCATTCCTTTAAACCAGTACTCCTTGGATTTTCAATAATCAAACTGATAGCATTATCTGGCCAACGTCTGAAAAAAACAAAGTCTTATATACAGTTTTTTAGGAGTATAAAGTAATATGATATACTTGGGGAATACTTTGGGAGAATCTATTAAAATTTAAAATATAAGTATAATTTGACCCATCACTTTCACTTCCAGGAATCTGTTCTTCAGAAAGAATGATACTCATATGCTAGGTAACATATAGAAACCTGTATCTTTAAGTATTACTGTAAAACAAAAATCCTGGAGAGAAAAACTAAATGTATGCCAATGTAACAATGGTACAGCTATAGAATATAATAGAAGACAGTAATTTTTTAATGAGATAAATCTATGTATGCTTTCTTGAAAATGGGGTCCATGACAAGTAAAAACTTAAGATAAAACAAAAATGCACACTATTTTGGTGCTATATATGTATGCATACTTATACATATGTACATTCATATGTGTAAATATGTATACATGCATGTATATGTGCATGCACACACACTTGCTTTAGTCTGTATATATGTTTATAAAATAATAACAGCTAATATTTACTGTGTCTTTACCTTGTGCTAGGCACTATCCTCCACACTTTACACGAACTGATTCAATCCTCAAGAATCATCCTATGAGCTAGAGATCAGTATTCTCCCTTTGTAGAAGCAATTTGCTCAAGTCACACAGTGGGTAATAGAGCTGGAATTTATTTCATACAGTTTGTCTTGAGAGCCTGTACCTCTTAAGCTCTCTATTGAAAGTTCTCTAAACAGGATCAGCTTGAAAGCAAAAGCAGACCCCAGAGCCTGGTTAGTGTTGTCAAACTCTTAACATCCCAAGGATCTTATTCTTTCCTCTAAGTCATGCATGAGCATTTTGAGGGTTCTTGTTGTCTTTTTCAAAGCTTAGGTTCCTTTTACTCTCTAATTCAGCTCACCGAATTCTAACTTTGGTCTCTAAATAAATACTTCAATGGAGTAAAATGGAAGGTCTGTGAATTTAAAATGTTAAGATTCTATTAGATAAGGAATGCAGCTTTTGGAGAAAATACTGACATTTGATTGATTGACAGAAAAACCTTTCCATTGGAGACACAGTAAGATTGAATTCCGGGCTTGCTGATAATATTAATAATTACATTTAAAGCAATGAGGAAAAATGGCCTGCACTTGCATAAAGCTATACAAAAATGGTGAACTAAAGAGGAACCTGTTCCACTCTTTGGTCAAATAATTACATTAGCAAGTGGTAAAGGCCAAGGTATAAACTGCTGCTTGTATTTCCCTTTGTAATTTTTTTTTTTTTTTTTTTTGAAAAAGAGTTTCACTCTTGTTACCCAGGCTGGAGTGCAATGGCGCAATCTCGGCTCACTGCAACCTCCGCCTCCCGGGTTCAGGCAATTCTCCTGCTCCAGCCTCCTGAGTCACTGGGATTACAGGCACGTGCCACCATGCCCAGCTAATTTTTTGTATTTTTAGTAGAGACGGTGTTTCACCATGTTGACCAGGATGGTCTCGATCTCTTGACCTCGTGATCCACCCGCCTCAGCCTCCCACAGTGCTGGGATTACAGGCTTGAGCCACCGCGCCCGGCCTGTAATATTTTTGAGTAAGTGAAAATTTTGAGCAAGTTTTGAAAAAGTGACTATCTAAAAAATTAAACGATATTATTATCCATGTTATGTGGAGATTATCAAGCCCTTATTTAGGAAAAAAAAAAAAATGTTTTCCAAAGCGAATTCAAACCTGATACATGTTAAAAACCAAAGGAAGTAGTTTTAAAAAACTAAGTATATTTTAGTAGATTTCAGAATAACTTTCAGATTCCTTCAGTTGTGTAGCTACGTGCTGCATTTTTGCCTTTTTCTATACAGCAAATAATTTTCCATAACTTGTTTTCAAAGCAATTATTGTACTAAGCATATTCATTGCTATATATTTTAAATTAAATGTGAATGCTGTCCCAGAGCAAATAATAACTAGTACCTATTGAGCATATTTTATGTGTTCTAGTTATTTACGTACATTGTATGCACAGTCCAATTGAATCTTTACAACAGTGTATGTATGTTTCATATATATGTGTTTAATATAGATTCATCATCAGCATTTTACAGATGGGGAGGTAGAGGAAGTTACCAATTTGCGTAACTTCACACAATTAATAAGTGGAGCATCTGGAAATCAAATCCAGGTAGTTTTTATTTTTAAATTGCAAAGTCCAGATCCCTAACCACTATCCTCAATGTCTCTAGAGTTTAAGCATGTTAATGGCAAGAAACAGATTTCAAGTGTCTTTTCATCTCTAATTTTATAACTGGAAAACTACCACGCTAAATCATAGCTCCTAAACTACTAAGAATCAGACATATTCATGTTTCTACAAACTTTAATGCACAAAGTGAAACGTGAGTTTTTTTTTTTTTTAGTTGGAGAATACATTTTCTATGTTTTCTAAGATGGAAAAAAAACTTAAGCAATGATAATCACCATGTTTTTATTGACTATAGAGAAACATTCCATTTTTTTCACAAGTTGAAACAAGTTAAAATATTCAAATTTTAAACAGTTTCCTTTCATTGAGATAGGACTATAAATATTTAAAATTTTCA